AATCTCTATGGGATAACATTAATGTAAAAAAAACAGAATTTGGGATTAAAGAGCCAGAAATTAAAAGGCCAAGAAAGATACCTAAACGGTATGAATTTCAAAATTCCGATACTGAAGTTCATTTTCAGCAATCAAAAGATAAATATCGAAAAATGTTTTTTGAAATTATAGATCAGACTCTTTGTTCTCTGAAAGATAGATTTGAAAACGAAGCACTGTCGTTTGTAAGAAAATGTGAGCGTTATATAATTGGTAACGAGTCCGACAATATGTTTATAATAAATTTTTATAATACTGATAAAGAAGATCATTTTGAATCCAAGAGATTAGAATTACATCGCGAGATATGTTTTGACATAATGCGTGATCGCAAAGTAAAAGTCAACAGTTTGAAGGATGTGATTAACTTTATAAAAAGTAACTTGTCACTTTTAAGCATCGCGGTAGAGTTTGTAAAACTAATAAAACTACTACTTGTTATACCTGTATCAACTTGTACTTGCGAGCGGTCGTTTTCTGCGTTAAACCGATTAAAAAATTACTTACGTTCGACAATGCTTCAAAATCGATTAAATAGCGTTGCTATAATACATTTGTATAAAGAAGAGGCTGATTTAATAGATTTAGAACAACTAGTTAATGAATTTATATGCAAAAATCACATTCGAAAAGCTACATTTTCAGTGAACAGTGCAATATAACTAAGTAAAAAAAAAAAAAAAAAAGGTTAACCTATGTAGAATGTATATTTTTTATATATGAATTCCTTATAACTACTTCTTCTAAAATTATCAATTCAGTCTTTTCTGTGAATCACACCACACATGTAAAAAATTTACTTCGCCGGGCCTGGACACTGCAGCGTGAGTGGCAACGAAAGGGCAGATAAGTACGCTAAACTCTCTTTGACCCTCTCTGAACTTCGCTCTGAAGGCGAACTGGATGTCTCCTCGCTATTCCCCGCTCTTCAGTTGGACGTGTTAGACAGAGCCAGGAGACATCTTCTCGACGAAGCAACCGTAAAGGGAGCTGTGTACTTCCAGAAAAAGCCCGTACCCTTGGGTAAGCCATGGTTCAGCAAAGTAAAGAAAAAGAAAATTCTACCTCGTCCCTTAGTCACACTTGTGTCTATAGTGCGCTCACATCATACAGCAGTCAATGCTCACTTAAAGGAAAAGGGCATAGTGGCCTCCTCGGAGTGCTCATGCGGTCATCCAACACAAGACATTAACCATGTTTTCTTTCAATGTCCTATGTACAAAACTCAGTCTGATAAGCTAATCATTGACCTATTTCATAATGGCTTTAGCCTTCCCTACTGTGTAGAGGAGGTCGCCTTTTCCAAATGTTTTCGCGCTATGTACGCTTTCCTTTCGTTCGTCAACACTACCAACATCAGCATATAAATCTTTCCTGCAGAAGTTGTAACCACTCTCCAACTTTATTACACCTGTTCTTTTTACTCCTTTTCCCCAGTGATGTAGCACCTATAATAAAAAATTCCTAGTATCGCGTTTCATCCAAGTTGTCTCAGACTGGCTTTTGCTCCTCACGTGCAGGGGCGTGCATATATGCAAAGAAGAACAGACCGCGGACGGCGCGGACCTTTCTCTCATTAAAAAGACAGTAGGTACATGATATTTTTTTATGAGGTATTTTTAACGTGCCCGTTAACCGAGTTATCGATTTTTACGAGCACTCTTGTCCTCTCCTAACCTCTGGTTACTTTTGCACGTTTTTACACTATCCTGTTCACTATTCTTAAGAACTTATATGCTGCACTCAGCGCCTTCCACTCTTCCTCTCTCAACCACTTCCATATGTCGAATGGATAGCTTGATCCTAGTCTATCCAATGTCTCTCTGAACTCTATTCTTTGTTTGTCATATCTTACGCATCCAAAGAGTAGGTGGTTTATAGTTTCCACCTCCGCTCCACTTTGACACCTTGGTGTGTCTATATAATTTTTCCGTGCTAGAGATTCCCCTACATTAAAGTGGTTTGCTCTAAGTCTATTTATAAACGTTGTTAATCTTCTCATGTCGTTCCTATTGGCGAACCATGGATGGCTTTCTCCTTGATGAAAAATTCTCTGAAATATTTTTGTCCCTTTATTTCAGCCTCCTTCATAATTTCCTTTTCCGTGTCCTGCCTCAGCTTTTTCACTATTTCTTCCTTAATGTCACTTCCTGATACTTTATATTTTTTCCTATTTGTTGTGCTTTCTTCTGTCGCCTCCTTCGCCAGTCTATCGGCCTCTTCGTTTTCTTTCACCCCCACGTGTGCTGGTGTCCACACCATTAGCATCTCTATTCCTAACTTACTTAACTTATCTATCTTATGTCTAATTTGTACTACATAAGGGTTTTTATGCACCGATATATCACAGTTTGTTACTGCCTTTATCACACTTTCCGAGTCGCTGCAGATGAACACTTGCATTTTCTCCCCCTGGTATTTTGTTATATTTATTTCTTCTACCTTTACCAATGCTTCCAGCACCGCTATTGCTTCTACCGAGTAAACTGTCAGTTCTTTTGGTGTTGTAAAGTTAGCATTGCACTCTTCCTCTGGCCATATCACCGCTGCTCCTGTGTACTGACCTTCTTTCTTCTTTGATCCATCGGTATAAACAAACGTTTGTTTCCATCCTTCTCGTTTGTATTTTTTCCTTATTCTTGTTTTCATTTCTTCATCCGATATTTTTTTTAACTTTCTCCAGGTTCCTATTTCCATTTCCTTTTGTACTTTGAAATTCCATGTTTCATAGTTGGTTTTAAAAATCTCGTATCCCCCCGTCCATATGTCTTCTGTGTACTTTTTTAGCTTTTCCCATGCTTTGTATAGGACACTGCCTTTTTTGTTTGAGTTTCTCATTAATTCTTGTCTTTCTCTTCTGCTTAGTCTGTCCATTGTTCTTTTAGTTTCTTCTCTTTCTACTACCATCTTTTTAACTAGAAAGTTGACTGCTAGCAGTTCTGCTCTGTGTTTCATCAACATCACCTTACTTTCTCCAATCATCACATTTGTCGGGATGCTGTTTCTGTACCCCATTGCTGTTCTATTCCAGCGTACTGCGCTTGTTCAATTTTATAAGCTGTCTTTTTCACTCTAGGATAATATATAAATACTGCATAGTCCATAACCGATCTTACCAGGCTCTTGTACATTATGGCCGTGTTTACATCCATTCCTGTGTTGACTTTATTGCACATTTTAATTACTCTGTTTGCCATAAGAACCCTTTTCTTGACTCTGTTAGCTTGTCCTTCCATATTTCCTTCCTCATCCATTAATATTCCTAGAAAGGTTGCTTCTTTCTGGCTTTCAATTATTGTGTCTTTTATTTTTAATTGTATTCTTTTTCTTTTTCCTTCAGGTTTTCCAAATTCTATTAGTGCTGTCTTTTCTGGCTGTAGGTCCAGTCCTAACTGTCTCAGTTTATTCATTACCGTTTCCACGCTTTTTTCTATCTTTTCCTTTGCCTTTTCCGTATCTTTCATATCCGTGTAGATTGCTATATCATCCGCAAACTGTCTTACTTGTACTCCTTCTTTTATTTCACTCACTATATCTCTTGTGTATATTGAGTATAGTACCGGGCTTAGCACTGCCCCCTGGGGTAGCCCTTTCCATACTTTCCTGTATATTTTGTCTCCTGTTCCTGTGATAAACTCCACCTCTCTTTCCTGAAACCATTTTTGTACGAAACCTGTGATCTTTTTTGGGCATTTGTATTCTTTTAGCTTATTTATACAAATGTGCCCCAGCACGTTATCATAGGCCGCCGACACATCCAGAAAAGCCGCTAGAGTCCTGCATTTGTTTTCTCCATTTTCGTCTATAAACGTCTTAAGATCAAATAAGTTTTCTGCACATGTCCTTCCTTTTCTAAATCTTCTATGCGTCTTATGTATTATTTGGTTCTTCTCTGTCCACCACGTTAGTCTTTCGTTTACCAGTCTCTCCATAACCTTTCCTATGCACAATGATAATGATATCGGTTGTACTTTTTCCTTGCCTGGCTTATCTATAAATATTACCTGATATTCTCTCTATTGCTTTGGTATTATTCCGTCTTCAAATATTTTATTGTACAGGTCTAGTAGTTTTTTCTTCCATTCTTCTAGGAGTTCCTTAATCATCTTATATTCTATACTATCTCTTCCGAGAGCTGACTTACTCTTTGTTCTCCTTAACGCTCTTTCTAGTTCAATTCTTCCGAATTCTGTTTCTAACGCTTTCTCTCTTTCTCCTCCATTATCTTCCTCCTCCTCCTCTTCTCTTTCTAGCTGTTCTTCTTTGTTCTGTCTATGCAAGTGCTAGTTTCTCAATGTTTTCTAGTATCTCCTTATCTCTGTCTTTATTTTGCCATTTATTCCAGTCTATTGTTTGTGTTGGTTTCCTTAGTGTTCTTATTTTGTTCCACACGTATCTCATACCTGTGTTTTTGTTTATTAATATTACAAACTTTTTAAACCCTTCTCTCCTTGTTTCTTATTATCTT